GTTGCAGTAAATTTGCTTCAAGTGAAGCAGATTTATTTTACTTGCTTATCAATATTGAGAAGTCGAGAAATATTTTCTGCTCAATATTCATGAGATATTAATACGATTTATTAATTAAATTAATAGATTTAAATCAACTTTAAATAAACTTAATTAAAATTAATACCATATACATATAAAATTAAAACATTAAAACAAAATGAAATAAAATATATAGAAATGTGTGAAATCCATTGAATTGTTTAACGTTTGCGATTTTATAACGTAAAATTCTATAATATATAAAAACAGAAAAATATAAATATTATGCTAATTGACAAAAAATAATGTAATAAAATATTAAATTATTAAAATTAATGCTGCACATTAAATTAAAATCCTAAAAAAAATAAACAAGATGTGTGAAAAAATTATTATAATATTTAGAATTATTTTAATTTAAAAATTATCAATAAAATATAAATATTATAACGTGACTGACAAATGATGACAATAAAATACAGGAAATCTACAAACTACTTTTACGATCAAAATTTTATCTGAAGACTAGAACAAGTAATAATAATGTCTTACTACTGTTTAGATATCAAACAAAGGATATTATTTTAACACAAAACTAAAATGATCAATATTATTCTGTCGATGTTGGAAGGACTAATATCTTATATTGTTTTTTTTTTTCACTTTTACTCCAGAAAAGGATATTGATTGTTCTTATTTCCAGCTCTTGATTTGTCTGAATATATGATTGATCGCACGAGTTTCGAGTCTCAACCACAATGTCTCTCATCGCTGATCAAGAAGTACGGTACGTTATTCGCGAGTGATTACACGTCGCTTCTATTGTCTGTCACATGAAGTCTTTGTCCGCTTTGTGATGTCTTAAGTAGTACCTTGACAATACCTTCTGAAGAACCCGTGAAGACGATACGTATGAAAACCAAAGCGAATAGTATCGAAGCTTGCTCCAGAATGCCGTCGTGAATTCTACAAAATAAATCGAGCTATCTTTGAAACTGATAGGCGCGCTGCAAAGATTCGCACGTCTTCTTTAATCGTAATAGGTCGAACCAGTCTAGGTCGGGTTGCGCAGGTCGTTTGTTACAATTTTTGAGTCTCTCTTAACCGGTTTCAGTACTCGCCGGTTGCTATCGTACCTTTTATTTTTTAATCATTTTTATCATGTACGTTCAAAGTATACAGATTTCATTACTTTCCAATTATGTGATCTATATTTAACATCGATTACTTATATATATATAT